AACAGAAACATGATATAGAAGAAGCTTTCACTAACACAGGCACAGACACACACAAGTGCAACAGCATAAATAACAAAATTGATCATAAAATGTAAACCATTCCAAGAAGAAGAGCGCTAAGACTGTCGAAAGGATGTTGGATTCGAAACTGAGGTCACAAAGACAAAGCAGAATTGATAACAGGTCAAAGCATTCTTTCATCTTTCGCAGACGAGAGATGTATCTTTCAAAATTATAAATGCCCATTGATAATGGTTCGTACTGTTAATTCGAATCATCAATATGATCATGTCATTAAAAAAAAAAAGAAAGAAAGAAAGAAAGCTCACAGGCATGTTAGCAATATCTTAAGAGGATCTATCTAATTCTGACGCCAAACCTCAAAGTAATATTATGGTTACGTGTAATTAGGCAAACATTCTGGGAGTATCTCTAATTCTGAACACGAATACTCTAGCCCCAAAGGAAGTTCTCAGGTCCCATAGGCAGTTTATGACATAATTTTCTGTTGTGACTTGTAAGGGTTATAATTCTCTTGAACTTCTTTCAAATTCCAGATAAAATATCTACTGACTGTGAACCAGAGGATTTATATTTTGAAAAATAAAAGCCTTTAGATCTTGAAAACCGTAAATTCAAACAATCCTATAGAGCTCCGCAAACCCCTTATAATATTGGAAAAACTTAGATTCAGAAATACTGTACCTGATCCACTCATTTTACCTCTGCCAAAATTGGTAAAAGCTTTCCAATCTGCAAGAAAAACACGTGGATAAAAAAACTTTTATCAGAGAAAAATATAAGAGATGAATTTAAACAAAACAAAAAAAAAATTATGGTGTTGGGATGAAAAAAGGAGAAGAAGATACATAGAGAAACTACATGCAGAAGACATAAAACAAATGGAACCAAATTGACAACCCCACGAATATCCTACTTGTCTGCATTATGGAATGAATTTGGCTGACTGAAGCGAGTTCTCACTAAATTGATCCAAAGAATCTTAGAAACATAGCATTAGTTACAGTATAAACTGCATTACAGTCTATTAACACCTCTCTTTCAACCTAATTCATCTCAAAGCAAGAATACACATAAAATGTTGACCTACAGCACTCCATATCACGTCAAATCTTCTCAAGCTTTTCTTCCCTTCGGAAGTAGATATAAATATATGCCAAGAAGGAAGTTTTTCACTGATTAATAGTTGTATTAATCTCTACCATAAGAGAAATAGCAAACACAAACCACAAGCCGCTTAGAGCAAACACTCGACTGAACTTTTTACCACCATTGAAGAACGCTCTTACAGGCTAGGCTAACTACTAAGGTACTGAAACAGCCAGTTCAACCTGAACTGATCCAAAAACTGGTAATGATGAATTGTATATCATAAGATAATGTAGAATTACATTCCTTAAGCAGCAGGCAGTAAGGGTGGCAATTTGGCCCGAACCTGATTTGGCACGCCCCAACCCAAAGCCAATAGAACAGTCAGCTGGTCCAGTTTCTAGAAGGGGTCTCACCGGGTCTGCCCAGTTTCAAAAACGGGGCAGAGTGTTTAGGGTGCCCTGACTCGGCTCTTCTCGTGCATAATATAAACGAGTGTGAACTTTCTCTAAAAGTAGGGATAATGTTGGGACTTGGGGCAAAAATTTTTTATTCTGTTTCTTTATCATAAAAGAGCCTCAGTCCAACACTTTCTTATAAACCCTAGCATGCTAATTTGTTTCTCTCTTCACTCACCTTATGATGATTCCTTTTCTTCTCCTCTGCAACCAAGACGATCTTCTCTAATTTCGCTTGTTCAACACCACTGGCGGATGCAAGTCTCTGAGAACGCCAAAACTAACCTCAGTTACTATTAAATGGATATATAAATGAAGAAATCTGGGGGTGTTCAAGTTTTTCTGTAAGTATTTTCTATTATGAGTTTTTCTTAGGGTCTGGGCATGGCTTTAGGTAATGCTGAAAATAGTTTCCCCATTTTCTTGTAAACAAGGGCTGGAAGAATGAAGGGGAAAACGAGGTTGGGGCGGGTCTAGCCCGCCCCATGTGGGGCAGGTCATGGGTCAGCCTTGGTCGACCCGCAGTGGGTCATGGGGCGGGCATGGAGTCGAGATCACAAGGCAGATCTGGGTACTAAAGTAACCAGCCTGACCTGCCTCATTGCCATCCCTAGTGGATAAGCAGAGACATCATAGCTCAATCCATTGATTCCATTCCCTAAACTGCAAATTCCAATCTATGGGGGAAAAAAATCATCTTCATCGAGATAAGATCCTTTAGAGAATATCAACAGCCAGACATTTAACCTCATAACTGTTTCATCCAATTTAATGATAGGTAAAGATTCTACTTATGATCAATTACAATAATAAAGGTCCGCCAATAAGTAGACGAGCAACCATTTGAACGGGGAAATAAAACATTGCAGCAATTTCCTTTTGATAACTGATTGATGGAAAGACCAGCGTTGAGGCTCTTTTTAACCACGACGTCAAGCCTTGAGAGGAAGTAAGTGTGCAGAATCCTGAGAGCTTTAAAAATATTAGCCTGTAACTACTAAGAGGCCATTTTCTATCCCCTGATTTTCTACCATAGATAGGTAAACCCCAGGAAAAGCTTGCAGAAGCACTTGCAGTATTAACTAAATTATAGGTTTCAACGAAAACACATATACCAGAGTTAAAGCCTATTTCAGTTGAAAGTATTATAACATAAGACCTATTACCTATATTTACAGAAATTGCCACTCCATTGTGCAGACACCGCATTTTGTTCAACTGGTAACATTTACTGCCACATGAACAGGAAAACAAAGGCTTCTGCTCCTTAAGATTCCTGATGTAAGAAAGTAATCTCCTTAAAATATAACTGTTTTCCCCTTAAATGTCTCAAATTTCAAAATCTAACTATACCAATAGCAAACTGAAACATTCATAGTCATAATAACAACAGTTCATCACCTCATTCCATTTCCAAATTGCTCATCTCCTTTAAGCCACTCTTGCTGATTATGTACTTTCACATAAAATGAGGGAAAGCTATCACGATAACTAGTATGATGTGGTTGGAGCAAGCAATTGCAATTACTAGGACTACACCATTTCAGATATTCGTTATCCTATTGACTTCCACATCATAATCAACAAGATAAGCAACGTAAAACAAAAGGTTAAATTAGATTAAAAGTAATAACCCAAATGAATAAGGTGTTCCAGAACATATAAGTGTATGCAAGAGAGACGGTAAATAGCTGTGGACATCTAAAAGCACCTCAACACAAAACAGATATGCATGTACCAAGCCAGGAGAGAGTACCTAAATAACTGGAGGAGAGTTCTCGCCTATGAAGTGAGCTTGGACTTCATCACACAGTAGACCAACATCCCTCCATCCATTCAGTAACAGGCTTAGAGGACCTTGCTTACCGCACAGGTGATAAGACTATTATATAACATGAAAATATACCAGGAATAGGTTTTATAATCTAACTGTAAAGTATGAACAAGGAATTATGCTGGAGATCCGCATCAGAGTTTATTGGTCCAAATATAAATTCCATGCTTGCAGCTGTAGAACAGTCATGAGGATATGCATATCTTAGGGTGAGCCTCTGGAGCATCTGTACTTTGTAGCAACTTTAGTTTGCATATTCCCTATTTGGCAATGTCCAATTCCCAATTTCACAGATGCCTCCTCAAAAATAGATGAATACTAGAAAATTAATCCAAAATCCTGCCATCGCCAAATTACCAATGCCCTGAAAGTTCGTGGGCAACAGGGCAAGATAGTCATCATGATCAAAGTAATTCAACTTGCGGAGTTTTCAGTTCCGGCATGATAACAACTGCACAAGGAAATAGTTAGAAACCTTCATTGTCAACATCCATTTCTTTTTTGATTCAATATCAAGAGATGCATCCTCCTTGACAACACATATCGCAAGCCATTCCATAGCACCATCCTGACAAAAGCAGACATCACCTCTGACTCAAAACTCAACTAGGATTGAATTGATGAACGGAAAGGCATCCAATCTTCCGGCACATCTCCACTTTTTAACCCAATCACTCCAGAGGATGTGAAAGAACAAATATGTAATCATGATATTTCAAGAGATCAGTAATACTATGTTAGTAATACTATGGTAGCGGATAAATTTCCTCACATATAATAGAAAGCCGGAGAGATCTCTTTATTCTAAAGAAACTGGTTCGGAAACTATGATAGAAATTTGCTTTCAATGTGATCCAACGAAAGCAGAGTACTATGCCACAGCTATCGAGGCTAACTCTTCACCATCTTCTGAAGATCATACTAACTGGAGAAACTTTCCCATGTCGATGATAGATATATCAAAATCTCTTTCGAGTCACAAAATTTGTAAAGATAACAGTTTATAAATTACGATAGAATGTGGAGACTGAAGCCTTCATCTTCAGGAAACCACCTCCAAATCTAATTTCATCTTTTGGTAATGATGACCATATAGGTGATATTTTCACAGCATTTATCCAGTAATCAATGGAGAAGTAAACTTCAATCACCACCCCTTACACTCAAATTCCTTCATTTGACAGCAGATGTCATCATGCAACTCCATCAATAGATTCGAACCATACAATCTCGCCTAAAATGTAACCAACCAGTTCCAGAGATGTACATAAAACAAATTTATCCATAGAAAAAGGGACATAAAACAATTTTATCTGGCCAATAGCAAAGTGATGACAATACGACGTACATAGTGAGGATAGCACAAAATATGCTATTGAGTCAATATTATAGCTGAAGCAAGACAAACTATATCATAGTTTAAGACCAATACCTTAATCTCCTAACCAGAAAAAGAAAGATAAACCAGAAATTTAAGCAATAACCTACAGGGTGTAATACGCACATAATCACACGGTCTTGCCTTCACCCTACTGGGCAGCAGACAAACAAGACTCGCAAGGTGCCCTATATAGTCTAGTGCATAATCCACCCATACATCAACGACGACTCCTCTTTGTCTTTTCATGTCCTCCCCATGATGTAGAACTTGAACCATACATAGAACCTTTCTCAAGAGCACCCTGAGAATAAAGTAACATAATAACTCTGCATGGAGCTAGGCTTTTTGTGATGTAATGCAAACAATTGAAGTGTCTGGTCAACAGAACCAAACCTGATGAATCCTATATCCATCATAAGGGGCAGGGTAAGTAGCCTCAAGATTGCTGAACTTCAAACCATATGGTCCACCTGGGCAGTCAAATAGTGTACAGTCAAAATAATGAAGGCATCATAATGTCCACAAAACCTGTCTCTCAGAGAATATCATACCAGTTTTGCGCAAGTATTATAATATTAAAGTAGAAAAAGCAATAGCTTCAATGTTTAAGAAAAATATCATGTCAACTAACACATATAAACTATGTATAGCTTCTAAGGGCATAAATTCCAAGAGGCGTATCCATTGCTCTTATCTGAAATGGGCCACAACCAATAGGCAGAAGAAATAAATGAATCACATAATGTTAAACTTTAAAGGATTTCGTACGCAAGTGAACAAAAAATGCTTAAGGGAACGTGGAATAAGTAATGACCTGCACTCAATGTTCTAGCACCAGAAACCGCAAGCTCAGAACGAAGCTTTTCAACTTCACGAGCCACGCTCACCAGATTCTTCTCCATCGCTTGTCTTTGTTCCAACAGCTCCACATTTGCCTTCTTTTCATAATCGATGGCACTTCTGTAATTCAGAACACATGAGCTTAAGCAGACATCTTATTGTGGCTATGCAGATATAAGCTAGATTATGCACATAGCACAAACTTTATAGCAAATAATGGCAAGAAAACAGACCTAGCTCGCAACAGTTCCTGATGCAACCCATCAATCTCAGATCCAAGAACAGGAATCTGCTGGTTATCAGACCTCAGCTTTGCAAGTTCTTCAGAGAGGGCCTGAGCCTGACCCAATAGATCCTGCCTCATTGTTTTCAATCTCCGAATCTCTGTTCTAAGTTTTGCAGCCTCATTTTTAAGAGGCTCGGCCGCACGAATGTCAGCCTCCAACTTCCGACCCCTCTCAATAAGCTCCCTAGACTGGAGTTCTTGTTCGGCACGCATATCACCAATTGCAGTGTTCATTCGGCGTAACTCTTCCTTAGCGGCAGCTAACTCTCGTTCTAAAGTAACTCGGTCCTCAGCCATCCTCTGGTTATCACCCAAAAGCCTGCGGAGTTCAACGTGACGGCGTTCAAGCTCTTCCTCTAGTAGGGCGGGATGGGGTGGCAAGCGACGGGCCACATGACCTCGAGAAACAGGTTGCTCCAGTCGATAACCATATCGGTGATCAAAAGCGTCATGAGGAACTTGATTTCTTCGTGACATATCAACTTGTACTGGAAAGATAGAATTACAGATGTATTAGACTGGAAGAGTGGAAACTATACGAATAATTTTCATGCAGCAAGTTAGTCACTTCATAATCTTCATTCAGAAAATGCGTACGCACGGTTCTTTAAAGAAAAAAAAAATGGCCGGACAATTCTTTTCGTGAATTTATAGAACACTAAATTCGTTCGGAAAATTCTAGTAATTTCCTTTCCGTTTCTGACATAGTTGAAACCCTCCGAATAACTTCATCACAAGATACTGAAAATCATCAGAGATTGGTGTTGTAAACCATCCCCACACGCGCAGACATGCAAACCACAAGTATATCGAGTGGGTATCTAAGGATTTAATAAGCAAGCGTAGTCGAATTAATTCATGAATCACCGAACCACAAAAAGCAATTACCAAACTCACCAAACCCATAACCCAGCTCAATTTCCCGGGCAACAACAATAAAAACATGAATTTTAGATCACAACATGAAGTTGCAAAACAAAATAGAAAAATCAAACTGATTAAAAAAAAAAAAAAAATGCAAACAGCGTGATTTTAGCCCAATCACAACACAATCGGCTGGTCATACATCAACATCAACATCAACATACCCAGTTGTTCATCAAGAAAAATCTAATTTCAGACAACTCTTCCCCCTACAATTACAAAGTACCCTTTCACTCCACCCCACATCTATGCAAAATTTGTGCTATCTGATATTGCAATAAAACCTAAATTCAGCTGAATTTCGTACCTTCGCCGCGAGAATGACGAGGAATTGCGAATTAGATGAAAAGGTAAGAAATTATGAGCAAACTCAGAATAGGGTTTGTCTGAAATTATAAGTCGGAAGACGCAGAAACGAGAGGAGATTGCAAATTTGGTGCAGTAGGATTGTTTGCTGCGTGAGTTGCAAAGTCGCTTAAAAATAAAGTGGGTGAATTATAATTTAAAAATACAAAAATATTTCGTAAAATATGTATAGCAATAATAATAAGTAAAATAATTTATTTATTGTATTTTATAATATTTTTTAAATATGTATAGCGATAATAACAAGTTAAAAGACATAATATTTTTGACAAAAAAAATTGAAGTTTAAAATCCCTCACTATATATAGTAAATTCAAAACGTGTTGAGCTCAAATGGCAGATTCTCACGCTTCAGATGCTGACATGGCAAAAATTTATACTTTGTGATGTTTATATATTTATTTTTGCTCTAAAGTTAGGTTTGTTATTAGATATAAATAATATTTATCATATATTTCTTAATTCTACAATGTACACGCGTATTGTACTAGTTCAAATTATGTAAATTTCACATTTTAAAAGACATATTATTTTTTACAAAAAATTGGTAGTATTTTTATTTTTTAGTAAACACAAACTTTAGTTGGAACGTGGCCCATATGCGGTAGCCCGCAAGTTTGTTAAAGCGGTAATATATCCCCAATATATTGGGCTCTCATACAGTAAAAAAAACGAGAAAATTACTCAAAATACCATCAATTAGACTTTCTATTACATAATAAATATCAATCTATAAATAATAGTAATATTAAACATTTTTTCCCTTTTATTTGCAGATATGTCACAAAAGTTATTATAGCGATCATTTTATTAAATCTGCGGTCCTTTCTCTTCCCTGCAAATTAACTGTAGCAAATGAAAAAAAAAAAAAAAAACTCAGATCTAGACTGCATCGCGCACCTTCTCCTTCCGGCGGCCGCGCTTGCCCGACTAGGCCCTGGTCGCGGCTTGGCCTAGTTATTCATCACCGCAAGCCCCCGAGCGTGCTGATGGTGGACGAGTTGTCGTCGTTTTCCACCTTCTCCCCGTCAACGTCAGATGATTCTCCGTCGCAGAAGTTGGTGTCATATCCAGATTTCATGCGTTTCTAACGTAATCTCTGAGACCGTACGACGACTTCCGGCGGTCGATAGTGGAGACGACGGGCACGGGGATGGAGGATGGGGCGCATGGATTGGTAGTTTTTGGAGTTTTCTGTATTTATAAACAACGTGACACCTAGATCTGGTGTGTGCCCAAACTCAACAACTATTTGATGTATATTTTATGTATATCTTCTGTATATATATGTTTTATATGTGTAGTATATTTATATTTTTTTTGGTTGTTTGTGTAGTTGCAAATATATATTCTGTATATTTTTCTATATATACTATTTATATTTTTCATATGTACATTAAAATATTTGATGTATATTTTCTGTATATCTTCTGTATATATATGCTTTATATGTGTAGTATATTTATACTTTTTTTGTTGTTTGTGTAGTTGCAAATATATATACTGTATATTTTTCGTATATATATACTATTTATATTTTTAATATGAACATAAAAATGTATTTGTCATGTATAATCCGTAATAAACGAAGACTGGGATAAAAAATGCTGACATAAAAATATTTCTCTCTCCATACTTGCATTCCGTCAGTTACGGGATCTGTTATGGCAAGTTATTTGTTGCTAATTATATTGTACGTATATAAATAATTTGATTAGGTTTGTATAAATGCAATTAAATTTTATATTTGGTATATATACAAATAAAAGTGATTCATTAAACAGAAGTGTAAATTAGCCTAAAAAAACTTAAATACAATGACCCAAAATAAAACTTCTCTCAAATTCAAATTCTCCAAAATCCAAATTGCAATTCCGCAGCTTGTAGTTTACTTGAATCGTTTTTAGATCGTATTCGGCTGTATAGCTGGGCTCTAGTCTTTGTGTTTTTTAATAAAATCTATCGTTTAGGAAAAAAAAATTATTATTTATTCATAATTTAAAGATTTAATAGAAATAATTTTGGTTTCTTTACATTGATTATAATTATGCATAAAGTTGCTAAATGAAATGAGCAACTCGTAAACTTGATTCACCTGATTAGTTAAGGCTCGAGTTTGGTTCAGTTATACTGTTTGATCCACGCCATGCTCATTCAGCTTGTTACGTTGAGATTTTTACTTAGTTTTATGAAATTTTAACGTAATTCTACTCGTCAAGGCTTTAACTCAACTTGTTAAGTGTTGTTAACGAGCTTGAACTTATTATTAGGCTATTAGCTCAGTACTTAAGCCCGATTTTGAGCTCAGTTCGCGAGTCTTCTCGTTTGCAGCTCTAATTATGCATGCCTTATAATATTTTTATGAACGCCATGCCACCTAAGTGTTATAGCAGTAGATTTCAGCTGCAGGCTCTGCTTTAATAGCTCTGATATCATTTATTTTTACTAACATTTATACTAAATAAAATTTATCAATTAAAGTTGAATCATTAATTTTTATTTTTTAGGTGAACTAATTAATATTAGAAGAATTAGGGTACATAATTTAGATATTTTATTATTTGAAATATTGCTTGTTCTGGGTCATATATATTAGGGCTGGGCACGGTTCGAGTAACCGAGTTTTTTCAGGTATTTGCTAACCGAAGCGAACCGAGCAAATATTCGAACTTGCTAACCGAAACCGAACCGAAAATATCGGTTAACCGAATTTTCGGTTAACCGAAAAAAATCCTACTATTCGCGAATTAACCGAACCGAGCAAACCTAATACAATTCTGTGTTAGGTTTGCTCGGTTCGGTTCGGTTAATTCGAGAACCGAGCAAACCTAATATATATAGTTTAATATATATAAATATAAGTTAGTTTAATATATATAAATTTAATATATATATATATATATTATAAATTTTAATATAATATATGGTTCGGTTCGGTTCGGTTAACCGGGGTAAAAAAAAACCCTAAAAACCGTAACCGAACCGAACCGAACAAATACTTCCTTTGAGGTATTTGTAACCGAACCGAGTGCCCCGGTTAACCGAAAATTCGGTTCGATTTCGATTCGGATCTACGATTCAGCGGTTCGGTTCAAATTTTTTGCCCAGCCCTAATATATATCCATCCAGACAACATGATAATATTGAACATCTCAAAAGTTGAAAACACATTAATATGAGGAGATCATAAATTTGTAATTTCTTATCACAAATTTCACATTTAGCCTAAATCATTCCATTATTATCACACAAAAGCACAAGAAAACACAACACACACATCATCATATAAGAATAATAACTTTTTTACTGACCCCATTAAAGATAAAAAAAAAAGTCCAATTTTCACTTCATGTGCAAAATTTTATTACTCTTTCTTACAAAAATTTCTAAGTGGAAGACAAAAAAAGTAGTTAATAAGCCCCACTGTGCTTGAAAACATTCAGCCACAATCATGCCACTTTGATGATTTGCCTAACAAAAGAAATAATCTTTATTGTATTTAATTATTTATATTTATACAATAATGACTCCAAGTAAAAAAGAAAAAAAAAAGCGAAAAAAGTTGTCTCAGGAAAATGTTACGGTCTCGTTATAGAATCATTCCGTCGGGTTTGCAACTGTTAGATCATCATGCAACCGTAGAAGATAGTGATTATAAATTTCGACGGAATGATTACGTAACGAAACTGTAACATCTCTGCCCTAATAATCATGAGTAAAAATATTTCATTTGATGTGTAATGATTTGTATATATTCCCAAACGGACCCCCACACGTGTGCATCATTTTTCACCTCTTTTTATCTTCTTTAGTACTTTGCCTTTTGTCTCCTCCTTTTTGTAGGTTGTTTTTGTCTTCTTTTGGTTTTTCCTAATTTTTTCATTTTTTTTTTCTTTTACAACTTTATAATTTATAGTGTGTGATTTTAATTTGGAAGTAAGTTGGTTAAAAGAGATCATCCCTTCTTTTGACCCAAATTGGCATTCTTTTCTTCATCCTCACAGTGGGGAAATTGACAATTGTGTCCTCTTCAGCTTCCCATCTGCAATATTAATAAATAAGCATTAATACTGTACTTTATAGAATGGAATAAAATAAATAATTATGAGTAGGGAAAACATATTATTGTATGTATTTTGACTTTTAAATGTAAATGATTAGATATGCTATAAAAAAAAATAATTATATTTTAGTGAACTTAACAAAATTTTCTATCAAAAATTACAACGGATATTGCAATATTGTAATTTTCATTGAAAATTTTCAGTAAATACAGTAACATAGACCAATAGTAAAAAATTTTATTGGAATTTGTATTGGAATATAATGATTTCAGCATTAATTTTTGCGACGATTTATTATTGTGAAATTTACATAGAAATATGTATTTTTCGTTGAAATTATTTTTTCCATAAGTTATTGTAATGGTAGAAAAAACTGTAATTGGAACGTAAAATCCCATAAAAATTTCAATAAAAATAATAATGTTAATTTTTGGGAATCTCTTTTATATAAATGTAGAATGTCTTGATCCTACGGGTAAATTGGTACTCCGTAATTCTATGTGTCGAATTCTGGTGCTTCATCAATTGTTGCTTCATAATCCTTATGTTGTAGTCTGGTGTTTCCTTTTGTCCTATGTGCCCATATTTTATGTTTCAGAATAGTCTGATCTACAAGTCAATTGGTGATTCGTAATCCTATGCGTTGAATTCTGGTATTTCGTTAATTTGTGTTGCATTATCCTATGTGTAAAATTCTGGTGTTTCGTTATATATGAATTTGGCCAATCTCTGCTTCCAAAAGCATTTGAACTCTAATTTCTTAGTTTATTTCTTTGGCCTAATAACAGCTATTTGCCAATAGCTGGTGCTTCGGACTAGTTCAATATTCTATTTGTACCTAGTAGGACATTTAATATTATAAATTGCTTGTCTAATTTAAATTATAAATATATTTAAAAGTTAATAATATTTGTATTCGCATGGCATATATAAAATAAAGAAGTGATTTATTTCTTTTATAATTAATTTCACATATTA